ATTGTCAACACCATCACCATTGCCATCACCACCAGCATTATCACCCACCAGCACCATCATCACTATTACCATCACCACCATGACCACTATTGTCAACACCATCACTATTACCATCACCACCACTATTGTCAACACCATCACCATTACAATCATCACCACCATTGTCAACACCATCACCACCATCACTATTACCATCACCACCATGGCCATCATCACCACCACTATTGTCAACACCATCACCATTGCCATCACCACCAGCATTATCACCCACCAGCACCATCATCACTATTACCATCACCACCATGACCACTATTGTCAACACCATCACTATTACCATCACCACCACTATTGTCAACACCATCACCATTACAATCATCACCACCATTGTCAACACCATCACCACCATCACTATTACCATCACCACCATGGCCATCATCACCACCACTATTGTCAACACCATCACCATTGCCATCACCACCAGCATTATCACCCACCAGCACCATCATCACTATTACCATCACCACCATGACCACTATTGTCAACACCATCACTATTACCATCACCACCACTATTGTCAACACCATCACCATTACAATCATCACCACCATTGTCAACACCATCACCACCATCACTATTACCATCACCACCATGGCCATCATCACCACCACTATTGTCAACACCATCACCATTGCCATCACCACCAGCATTATCACCCACCAGCACCATCATCACTATTACCATCACCACCATGACCACTATTGTCAACACCATCACTATTACCATCACCACCACTATTGTCAACACCATCACCATTACCATAGCACTGTCACCACCAGCATCACTATTACCATCACCACCATGACCACTATTGCAACACCACCACCATCACTATTACCATCACCACCACCATAGTCACCTGACTCACCACCACTGCTATCATTAACAAGCTTACCATATCTATAAATTTCCGTCTCCCCCTATATTCCACAGGTTCATATTTTGTGTGAACAAGGAACAATAACGGATATGAATTTGGAAAATTATGTTTCCTACAGGAACCAGTCCAGCAGTTGATTGCAACGAAAGAAACCTGATGAAAAATTCAAAATGTTCATCACAACATTAATAAAGGTTCAAACTGTCACCACAGTATAGAAAAAGTACAGTAGGGCCACTCAGCATAAAAAAGTGTCTACATTGTTTACTGGCTGCCAACCTAATTTACATATTGGCAGCCAGTAAACGGCAGCAGTCCACTATAAAATTGTACTACAGAATAATGATTTTGGCCGTGTAAGACACCTGGAACCTAGCTTAAATAATTGCCACTTTTCTCTCCCCTAAGTGGCCCTACTGGTTGTCTCCCTATACTGTGCTGTCACCACCAAAAATATACCAGTTGAGTACTGAAAAAACTGTGCCCTGTTATACCTGTCCTTTGAACTTTTTTGATGCTCGATGAAATTCGTAGACCAATTTGGCAGACTGGGCACACCAATGCGCATAGTACATGACAAACGAGATACTAGATTGTTGTAGAAGAGCATGTAGGATGTTGACAGAGCCATTACTAATATCTCTGACTGGACTTTCAGTGTGGAACAATGGATAGATCATTTGTGAATTGTGAGAACATAAACCTCTAAAAAATGTGATAAGGTTTAAGGGTTTTGCAAATGGAAATTTTGAGTGTGAATTTTAAACATTTATAGACCTAACCAGCAGTTGCAAAAAATGCAACTATCGGCCTTCTGGCAGGAATCGAACCTGCAGCCCTGAGGTTCCGGTGCAGCGCTCTAACCAACTGAGACTTTCTCCAAGTCTCTCTTTCATTGTCATATCGATCCACTATAGTGTACATTACATGACGTAGTACGGAGGGGCGGAGCGAGAAAGAGGGACTTGTCAACATCGGAAAATCTCGGTTCAAAACTGAACCGAAAATGCAAGACTTGCTTTAATTGTTTTCCTTCAATTTCTTTCTGTATTTAATATTTACTATAATAGTACTCATGTTATTTATACTCTGCTAGATCAATACATATAAACACTGACAGAAAACAATTAAAGCAAGTCTTGCATTTTCGGTTCAGTTTTGAACCGAAATTTTCTGAAGTTGACAAGTCTCTCTTTCTCGCTCCGCCTCTCCGTGCTACGTCATGTAATGTACACTATAGTGGATCGATACTATATGACAATGAAAGAGAGACTTGGAGCAAGTCTATAACCAACTGAGCTACAGAGGCTGGTTGTCAAACTCTAACATACAGCAAGTTCATGTACAGAGTATAAATTTATTTTTTTTCATTATCCCACTGAGATACCAGGATTCTGGATCCTATGTGAGAATCCAGTATCCCACTTCTGCATGGATACTGGTTACCATACATTTTGGCATCCCTGAATTATCAAGTAATCATGCAGTACTGTACATGTCTCTCATTGGACTCAACAGTCAACAACTACAGGATACCACCAGATTGTGATAGATACTCATAGTATTCAAAGCTATTGGAAAACCACTGGAGACATTTTGCATTACCCTGTTTGAAATTTTATTATGTATCTAATATCCAGCTGGAGTACAAGTCATTCACATGTGGTTTGGTATCCAAAACCAAATTTTAGTATCTTGTTGATATCGAGATACTGCAAATTTCAGACATTGATGTATATACACTAAGGGTATATATATATATATATATATATATATATATATATATATATATATATATATCCTGTAGCAACAATGAACTGATAAAAGTCGTTTTCCACTTTGCTGGTATCGGACGACAATGTACTGGTGAGCATGCACAGATTGAAGAGGTTGATAAATCCTCATACTTCTGATGTATTCGTGTATCAAAGTAACAGGTTCGTCGCCAGTTAACTTTTTAAGTTTGAAATGGCCTTAAGAGATGGCTTTTACTGGACCTCCAGGAAGAACAGTTTAGAAATGCAAATTAAGCTATCCAGCATGAATAAAGTTAGTTTATAGTATGGTTTCCTCCTGTAGTAAACTGGAACAATACAGTAAGAGATGACCCTTGCTGGGCCTCTAGGGAGAACAGTTTGGACCTCAGTTAAAGTCTTAAAACCAGACTTTAAATCAGAAATCATAGTAATTAGTAAACTAAACAGTCATATTATAACGTGACAGCTCAGTACAATAATTGTCCAATCACAAACGCACAACTGTACATTGTCAGGTTTTAAGGCTGTCCAACATTGTAAAGATCTCACAAAAAATATTTCAAAATTATACAATTTTTACAATAACTAAAACAATACACATGTCCTTAATAAGAATTATCATAATAATACGTAAATGCCTCAACTAAATATCAAGTAATGTAATTATTACCTTGCAAATAGCCATGTTGAAAATACTACGAAGCCAAACAAAGCTAAAACAATCGATAGTTTAGGATATTTCATCAGAAATTGAACTACAACACTGTAGGAATGCCTGGCAATTTTGTTCTTTGTATAACACATTCATTGAGAAGTGCAATTTAAAAAAATACAAGTACAAAACTACATTTTTGAACGGTTGACACTCGAGTTTTTTAACTGATTTACAGATTTAGTGATTTAGTATTCCACAAACTACCCGATTCGTTTGTGGCCAATTGCCGCCAAAAATAAGTTGTCGCCGATTTCTCGCCCTGACATGACGTCATAGGGATTGGATCACTGGATTAGATTAATTAGGATTACAGCACAGATTAATTAAAGGATTAAGATTAAATGAAGCTTCACTTAAAAACACGACTTGAATTGATCTAAAATAGTAAAAAATGCTTTTTTTTGTGCTAAAAAGTAGTGACAATCATATACCATTATGCAAATTTACCAATTATCGATATATTTACCAATATTCAAAGGCCAATATTAGCCAATACCGATAACTGATATTTTATTTTACTTCGAGATTCACAAATTGGTAATTGGACCACTGTAGAAACTTTGTAATACAATACCAATAACATCAGAAAAAAAAACACAAATATATTTGAATTTAGGGCTGATATCCCAATATCCCAATGCTAGTGCATCACTATTAATTTGTCAAGTACATGTTTTAAGGTTGTTTTTAGCTCTCTTTCAGGTCAAAATTTCCAAAAAATTTCCGTAAATGTGGTGGTCGCCCCCCTCCCCCCCCCCACCGAGATTGGGGTTAGGCTCTTGGCTAAAGCTTGGTAACTCTACTGCACGTCTGCACTGGAATAGTAGCGTCGCATGTTCAATCAACACCAAGTTATCATAAAGATGACTTAGCCAGAGTCACACAACCCTTTATGTTTAGCAAGCTCAGTTACTGAAATAAACAGCAATTTATAACAAATAGTAAAGTAAAGTGGTTTTTTTTTAATTAATGTACAAACACAAATGTATATAGACAGTTAGATAAGTAATACAAATCATTGCTAGTTACTAGTACACTAATGTATGAAAGCATTTCACAAAAATTATGAATATTATCTCTTTTTAAAACCGTATTTCTTTCGTTCATAGAACAAGTCTGTCTTGGAGCTTCCAAGATTTACAATTTTTGGACAGCCGTCTCTCTGAAAAATAACAGAAGAATGGTTAATTAAGGTGGCAAACAGATTAAAACTAAATCCAGTAAAAATAAAATTAGTTTAGAGTAGGCTTTCCTTGATATGGCTCTTACTGGTTCCTCACGAAAACCACATTTAGAACTGGCAGAGGTATCCAGTGTAAATAAAGTTAGTAATTTAGTTGGATCACTAGGGAAAATAGTTTAAATAGATTGAGAAATCCAGAATATGTAAGCTCTTTCTGGACTTCCAGGGAGAATAGTGTAGAACTGATAGAACTATCTATTCAGTATAAATAATATTAATTTAGTCTAATTCAAATATAAACAAAATGCTTACATCTTTTTCTTGTACTGTGCATTCCTTGCAATAGTATGCATCAGATACTCCTGGCCCACCACATGTCACACATCTTCCCTGATACGAGCCGTAGTTGCACTCATCACAGATCCGAACAAGAGTACACGGACGTACATATGAATCACATATTACACATTTACCATCACCTAGACATATAAAAAACATTGTTTTTTAGCTAGTATTCTACAATAAACTGCTGTAGCATTTGTCTACCTGAAGAAGATCTCTGAAATGTGGGGATCCAGTGTAGGTAGTATTCTAAAATAAACTGTTAACATAGTTCAGACACAAACAACAACTTTTATATTACAGAATATTATCTTTTTTTAGGTAGCTCAGATTCAAACCACAGCAGCTTATTGTAGAATACTACCTACACCGGACCACCACATTCGACACATCTTTTTCAGGTAGTTCAGACACAAAACACAACAGCTTTATATTGTAGAATACTACCTACACTGGACCACCATGTTTGAGATCTTTTTCAGGTAGTTCAGACACAAAACAGGACAGCTTATTGTAGAATACTACCTACACTGGACCACCACGTTCGAGATATCGTTTTCAGGTAGTTCAGACACAAACCACAATAGCTTATTGTAGAATACTACCTACACTGGACCACCACGTTTGAGATATCTTTTTCAGGTAGTTCAGACATAAACCACGACAGCTTATTGTAGAATACTACCTACACTGGACCACCACGTTTGAGATATCTTTTCAGGTAGTTCAGACATAAACCACGACAG